GCTGTCTTAAATAAATTAATAAAATAATAATGGGGGAAAAAATAAAAATTTATAAAAATAACTCAACTGAAATGCTTTAATAATAAAAATGAAATTAAAAAATAAAACGAAACAATCCCCCACCAGCTGCGCGTGATCCGAGCGTTCCGGAGCATGTTGGAGGACCTGGAGGACAAGCGAAGCGTGCACAGCTTCCACAGCTTCCACGGCCTGCGCACATCGCGGAGCCACCACGGGCCGCGCACCAATTTCGCCGGCGACGACGCCGACTCGCGCTTCCTGCGCACCACCTCGCCCACGGCGGCGGCGGCGGCGTCTGGCGGTGGGGGTGCGAGCAGTGGCGTGGCGGCGGGATTTCTACGCCCCTGCTCGGGGGGACGCGGGGGCAGCGCGCGCTACTACCACTGCAGCACGCCGCCGTCCAACACGTACCCTAACCTGCACCTCAAGTCGCAGTCGTACGAGAACGTGCCGCTGGTGGCGAAGCAGAGGGCGAGCGCGCTGCACGCCGCCACCAACCCCGTGTGTAAAGTCTCGCCCCCGCACAGCAGGTCCAAAACGCTGAGTCAGTCGGATATACACAAACACACAGAGACTGCTATTTAGACACAATGTGAGAACATGACACGTTTAACGCATCACTCACTACTTCTTTCGTTTTATTGGTTTGGGGTTTGGGTTTGTTTGTTTTTTTTCCTCCCTATTATTTTTGATATTATTATTATTATTTCATTAAGGACACCACCACCACCACTACCGCCGTCGCCGCCGCCATTATTTTTCCTTTCGTATCTAATCTGACGATATTTGCACTTATGATTTCTCCCTTCTGTGATCAAAGAATTGTGAATATTGCTGTGAACATATGTGAGGCGTACTGATAAAATGAGTTACTTCTCGCATTCCACAAATGGAGATATTGGCTAAAAAGTGACACTAGGGTCAAATTTTTAGATTTTATATTGATGCCACATTTCTTTAGGTATAACATACCTTTTATTTCATACTTATAAATTGTAAAAACTTCAGCTATAAGCGTGATGTATCTATTTCCTTAAGGTCTGAATCCGAGAAGTAACTCATTTTGTCAGCACGCTTCACATATTATTATTATTGATATGACATACCCTGATATAATGCCGCATCCACACACCCTCCGTGTTATAAATCCCTTAAAACCCGAAAGTCGTTTTATTTCAACGTATTGTACGCGTTGACTTGGGGGCAGTCAAAGAGGGACCTCCTGGGAGAAAGCTCCGTAGCTACGTACCCCCTCTAAGCGACGCCTATGTACCCCCCTTTAAGCGACGCCTATGTATCCCCCTCTAGGAAACGCCTATGTACCGCCCCCTCTCTAGGAGACGCCTATGTAC